TTCTGACCATCTATCTTTTTGCTGAACCACTGGAAAGTAAGTTGTCCTTTTGTGACCGACTAATTTCACTCAGCATGTTTTCAAGGTTCATCCATGTTGTAGCATGTATCAGGACTTCATTTCTCTTTATTGTTAATATTGCATTGTTTATGTTTATGCCACATTTGTTAATCCATTCATCTGTTGATGACATTTAGGTTGTTTCCATCTTTTGGCTATTGTGAATAGTGCTGTAATGAACATTGGCATACAAGTTTCTGTTTGCATTCTTGCTTTCAGTTCTTTTGGGTATATACCTAGGTATATATACCATGATAAACAGAGAAAAGATTGAAGTTGTCAAGGATTTCATTTTACGTGGATTCACAATCAACACACATGGAAGCAGCAGTCAGGAAATCAAAAGACGTATTGCATTGGGCAAATCTGGTGCAAAAGACCTCTTTAAAGTGTTAAAAAGCAAAGATGTCACTTTGAGGACTGAGGTGGGCCTGACCCAAGCCATGGTATTTTCAGTTGCCTCATATGCATGCAAAAACTGGACAATGAATAAGGAAGACCGAGGAAGAATTGATGCCTTTGAGTTGTGGTGTTGGCGAGGAATATTGAATATACCATGGACTGCCGGAAGAACAAACAAATCTGTCTTGGAAGAAGTACAGCCAGAATGCTCCTTAGAAACGAGGATGGTGAGACTTTGTCTCATGTACTTTAGACATGTTATCAGGAGGGATCAGTCCCTGGAGAAGGACATCATGTTTGGTAAAGTAGAGGGTCATAGAAAAAGAGGAAGACCCTCAAAAAAGATGGTTTGACACAGTGGCTGCAACAGTGCGCTCGAACATAGCAACAATTGTGAGGATGGCACAGGACTGGGCAGTGTTTCATTCTGTTGTATAGGGTTGCTGTGAGTCAAAACTGACTCAGTCGCACCTAACAATAACAATATTCTATTGTATGAATATACTACAGTTTGTTTATTCTGATCTTCATGGGTTTTGGGATTGTTTCCAATTTTTGGTTATTATGAATAAGGCTTCTACAAACATTGTTACAAGTCTTTGTGTAATGTGAGTGTTAATTTTATTTGTTAACTTGGCTAGGCTGTGGTGCCTAGTTGTTTGGTAAAACACACTAATCTAGTTGCTGTTATAAAGTAGTTTAAAAAAAAAGTTGCCATCTAGTCAAGTAGAACTGTGCTCCATGGTGTTTTCAATGGCTGATTTTTCAGATTGCCAGACCTTTCTTTTAAGTGCCTCTGGGTGGATTTGAATCTCCAACCTTTTGGTTAGCAGCCAAGTACATTAATCACTTGCACCACCTAGATACTCCATTGTTGAGGAAGACCCTCAACAAGATGGATTGACAGAATGGCTGCGACAATGTGCTCAAATATAGCAACGATCGTGAGGATGGCGCAGGACCTTGCAGTGTTTTGTTTTGTTGTATGTGGGGTCGCTATGAGTCATAACCGACTTGACAGCACCTAACAACAACAACAGGTACTCCATAAAGTAGTTATATGTAATTAAATCAGGTAAAGCAGATTACCTTTTATAACGTGAGTGGGCCTTAATCAATCAGTTGAAGTCCTTAGGAACATAAAGAGAGTTTCCGTAGAATGTGTTTTGCCTCCAGGCTATAGACATTTTGCTTGAACACTCTTATTCTTCAACCTTCCTGTTGCCTGACTTATAGATTTTGTGTTTGCCAGGTATTCACAATTACATGAGGCAGTTCCTTGAAGTAAATCTCTCTCTGTGTGTACCACTGGTTCTGTTTCTCTTGAGAACCCTGACTGAGACATGTAGACACGTTTTCATTTTTCTTGCTTAAATACTTAAGAGTGGTCTAATAGGTCATAGGATAGGTGTATATTTTACTTTAAAATAAACTGTCAAACTTTTTTCCAAAGTTATACTGTTTTATACTTCTACCAGCAATGTGTAAGTTGTAGTTGTTCCTCATTTTTGTCAACACTTGATATTGTCAGTTTTTTAATATTAGCCATTCTAATGGGCGTGAGATGAAATTTCATTGTGTTTTTAATTTATATTTCTTTGATGATATTCAGCACTTCATTTGTTTATCTTTTGATGAGCAGAGGTTTTTAATTTTGATGAAGTTCTAGTTACCAATTTTTTCTCCTATGGTTAAGGTTTTTTTTGTCTTCTAAGAAATCTTTGCCCACCTCAAGATTGCAGGGTATTCCTCTTTACGGTTTTAGCATTTATGTTTAAATCTATGATCCATTTTGAGTTGATTTTTGTTTTTTTTTGTTTATGGAATGAGGTACGGGTCAAGTTCATTTTTTTCCCCCGACACAGGTATGCAGTTGTTCTAGTGCTATTTGTTAAAAACACTTCTTTTCCTTATTGAATTGACTTGGTGCTTTAGTGAAAATGAGTTGACTGTATATGTGTAGGTCTGTTTGTGGATTCTCTTTACTGTTCATTGATCTATCTTTATGCTAGTTTTACACTGTCTTAATTATTTACTTCTTTCCTAAGTCTTACAATCAGGTAGTGTATGTCCGCCTTCTTTGTTTTTCTTTCTGAGATTGTTTACTGTAGATTCTTTACATTTCCATATACATTATACTCACTGCCATCAAGTGGATTCTGACTCATAGCGACCCCATAGAGTTTCCAAGGCTGTAAATCTTTATGGTAGCAGACTGCTACATCTCTGTCCTGAGGAGCCACTGGTGGTTTCGAACCGCCGACCTTTAGGTTAACAGTTGAGTGCTTTAATCACTGCACCACTAGCTGCTCTCATATACATTATAAAACTGCCTTTTCAAATTTAAAAAAAAAAAGCCTGTTGACATTTTGTTTGGGATTGTGTTGATTCAATTTGTGAAGGATGGACATATTAACAACATTAAAATTTCCAATCGATTAACATCGTATTTCTTGCCATTTATTTGCTCCTCTTTAGTTTCTCTCAGCAATGTTTTGTGCTTTCTGTGTACCTGGTGTTAAACACATATTTTGTTAAAATTTTATACTTTCTTAAAACAAAATTTGCTTGGAATTTTTAATAACATTTAATAATAGATTATTCAACTTTTCTACTGTTTTAATGTAGTTTTTTTTTTTTTTTATTGTACTTCAGGTGAAGGTTTACAGAAAAATAGTTTCTCATTAAACAGTAGTACACATATTATTTTATGACATTGGTTAACAACCCCATGACATGTCAACCCTCTCCCTTCTTGACCTTTTTTTTTTTTTTTGGTGAAAACATACATAGCCAAAGATACACCATTTCAGAAATTTCTACATGCACAGTTCAGTGACATCGACTATGCCCTTTCAGTTGTGCTGCTATTCTCACTTTAGTTGAAGGTTTACAGAACAAAATAGTTTCTCCTTAAACAGTTAGTACACATGTTGCCCTATGACAATGGTTAACAACCTCACTACACATCAGCACTGTCCTTACTCAACCTTGGGTTCCCTATCACCAGCTTTCCTGTCCCTTTCTGCCTTCTAGCCCTTGTCCCTGGGCTGCTGTGCCTCATTTGTCCTGTTTTGTTTTATGGGGCTGTCCAATCCCTGGCTGAATGGTGAACCTTGGAAGTGACTTCACCACTGAGCTAAAAGGGTGTCAATGTAGTTTTTGTTTTAAAGATTAATTTTGAAAGTTCTCATGTGAACCTGTCAGACATGAATAAAGCTTTTATAATGAATTTATTAAATAATCCATCTTGGGATGACAATAGCATTACTACAATAGTATTAAATTTTCTTATTAAAATTAGCTGTTTTCAGTGTTAAAAATAACCAAAACTTAAAGAAATTGAAACATAAGGTTTATTCTGAGTAATTATCCTATATGCATATAGGGAGACCATTCTGATTCTTAAAAAATAAAAAAAGGTAAGTATCTGAAAGTAGGCAGGTTACAATGAGGCTTATAAAGAGAAGAGGAGGGAGAAAAACAGAAGACCAAGCGTTGGCTAATCTTAACATGATTTATTGAATTTTGGATCAGGAATTCTTAGGTTCATGGATAAGAAAAGTCTCTTGAAATAAAAGTAAAATATCTATTTTTAATAAAAAAATTATTTCACATCAGGATGAATGGTTATTTAGAAACCTTCGTTTTTATTATTCTGCTAAAGTAAAATAGAAACATGATACTTTAAAATTATTTTTCAATTTCATATGAACTATTTTACAGTTTAAAAACTATTTGGTACTGTAAAGGGTGTTTCTTTGTGTGTGTATCTTCTGAAACACACACCAACTAAAAATCTAAATACCCTCTTTGAAACCAACTGCTAATGTGGTACTTCTGATCCTGACTACCCTCTGGAACCAGGTGAATCATATCTTACAGGTTAAAGATCATACTTTTCCAGATTCCTAAGTTTGCCTGTCTTAGTTTCCTAGTGCTGCTATAACAGAACTGTCACAAGTGAGTGGCTTTTAAAAATCAGAAAATTATTTTCTCGCCTTTCTGGAGGTGTAAAGTCCAAATCAGGGCCTCGGCCATGTCTATTCCATCCTTGTAGCTAGTCCAGGGTGTTCCTTGATTCTTTGGCTCATAGACATCACTGATTCACACTTCCCTCCCTCCTCCCATCTATGGGTGTGTCCCTGTGTCTCATCTTTTTAAACTCAGAAGTGATTAGTTTTAGAATCCCCCCCATTCTGATATGATCTAATTAACATAACAGCGAAAATCCTATTTCCAAACAGGGTTATATCCTCAGGTATAAGAATTAGGATTCCAACACATACTTTGAGGGGACACAATTCAATCCATAACAAGAAGTGACTAAGTCTCTGATTTCTTTGTTTTGTTAGATTTTTGTGGTCTGTTTGGTATTAAAGTGCAAAAATACAGGGTAATTTAAGACTATTGTGGCTTGATTTCAGTGTGCACCTACAAATAGCGAAATTTATGGGCTAAACTTACATTATCTAATTTCCTAGACATATGTTTGTCAATTCTCTTAGTTGACTAATTTTCTTTTCTTAATATTCTAGCTCTCTATCAATATCAGCTTACGTCACTGAAAAGATAATTTTGAAGACATGTTTTGCTGAAAAGACAACTGAGAAAAGTCATTTTACGAATGGGATGAACACGTGCCAGTTAGTTGACTACCTACTACAATTTGAATGTTAACATTGTCCACCTGGTACAGTTACCTAGTGATGTACCTGTTCTTACAATACCCTATTTCAGCGTGCTTGTCTTGATTAAAGAATTCAAAGTGGAGTACCGCAAACTTGATATGGATAATAAAAAGAAAGACAAGGACAAATCAGATGATAGAATGGCACGGCCTAGTGGTCGATCGGGGCACAACACTCGAGGAACTGGATCTTCATCCTCTGGAGTTTTAATGGTTGGACCTAACTTTAGAGTTGGAAAAAAAATTGGATGTGGCAATTTTGGAGAATTACGATTAGGTAAGACTATTTTGTTTATTACATTATACTAGAAATATATATTTTTTTAATGGAAGATCCTTTGTAAATGAAAATCATTTAGTTATTGTTTACTTTAGTTGTTTAGTTGTAATTTTAACGAATAAAGATATTGGAAATGTCTTCTTATGTACTTGTTTTTTAAATTTTTTTATTTTTAAGGAATTCCTTGGTATAGGAGTATCTAATTACTTGAGATTAACCCTCCAGAATCTGAGAAAATAAGTATTAAAAAAGCCCACATGGCTGAAATAGCTGCCAGAAATCCCTTTATTGTAGTAAACTTTGCAGTGTATTTGTTAAGAATGATATTTAGGCTATTTGTTTAGATTTAAAAACATTTAGTAACTGATCACTTTAGAAACATACGGTGGCTTAAAGTCACAGTCATATACTGAAAGTACATAAAATGAATGAAATTTACAGCTTTGTAATTTAGCCCTCACCCTCCCAGTAATATGTCTGGGTTGGGGCTCAGGTAGCTATCTCTGTTTTTAACAAGGGACTCAGATTATTGATTCAGGTTATTCTTATAATCAAGGAGCCCTGGTGACGCAGTGGTTAAGTGCTCAGCTGCTAACCGAAAAAGCAGCAGTTTGAACCCACCAGCCGCTCTGTGGGAGAAAAGACCTGGCAATCTGCTCCCGTAAAAATTACAGCCTAGGAAACCCTATGGGCCAGTTTTACTGTGTCACATTGGGTCGCTATGAGTTGGAATCGACTTAATGGCACATAACAACAAGAACATTCTTATGATCAAGCAAATTTGGGAACCAAAAAGAACAAAAACCAAACCCGCTGCTATTGAGTTGATTCCGACTCATAGCGGCCCTATAGGACTAATTCAACCTCCTAACTACATTTAAGGCAGTTGAAACTCAGAGAGGGAAAGTTACCTGCCAAGTGTCACGCAGCAGTTTAATGACAAACTCAGGGCCAAAAGCCCTGTCTTTTAACGTCTAGTGCTGTGGAGGTGTTGCTGTTTCCATCTAAGGGAAATGAGGAAGAGAAGTGGCATGAATATATAGTAGTCAGCATACAGGTACCTTGAGGACTCTAGTCAATTGACCAGAGTTGGGACTTTAAACGTAAAAAGAAGAAAATATGGCTTCACAGTTTTCCTTTTATCCACCCCTGCTTTTATAAATAAATCTAGCTCTGTGTTTATTTACTCAGATATTTCTTTTCATCTTATAAAACACCTTAATTTGTAGTGACTTCTTTATTACTGTTTTGTGTAGTTACTCTACATTAAATATTTGATAAAGCAAGCCAGTAAAAGGCACACACACACTTTGTGCATAGCTGTAACATGATGTGGCTGGCAGACTCTGTTGCATTTAATAAGGATTCAGATACTTAAATGGGTTAATGTTTTACATTTTATTTTCAAAGAATATTGAGCTAGATACTTTGAGATTATTAAAGTGTTTCGGACTTTGAGATTATTAAAGTGTTTCTGATTTGGAATTAGAAAAACTAGACTGTTTACTTGTCTAACCCTGAGCAATATCATTCATCCATCCATCCATCCAATATGTATTTCATGTCCATCATGTACGAGGCATGATTAGACACTGGTAGTATACTGGAAAAAAAAATACATGGTCCCTGCTGTCATGAAATGTAAAAGTCACTTAACCACTTGGTGCCTTAATGTCCTCAGCCTTAAAATGGGATTATTTCCACTTTTTAGGTTATTATGAAGATTAAATTGAGATTATAATGGAAAAGGGCCAGCACTATACCTGCATATTTTAGTAAAATATTGATTGTTCCTTTAAAAAGATATCAAGACATTTGTTCTTTTTTGTTGTATAGATAAACAAAAAAACCCATTGCCATCAAGTTAATTCTGGCTCATAGTGACCCTATAGGACAGAGTACAACTGCCCCATAGAGTTTCTAAGGAGCAGCTGGTGGATTCGAACTACCGACATTTTGGTTAACAGCCAAGCTCTTAACCACTGTGCCACCAGGGCTCCGTTATATATATATTTATTTAAATGTACATTAAATTTACATAAATTAGCTCTATGTATATTGTTTTACACACACACACACACGCACACGCACACACACACACACAGAGGCATGCACCATATAACGTCCGTTTAGGCAACATCTGACTGCATATACGTCCGTGGTCCCATAAATTCAAAAACCCCATTTGGAGAATGGGATGTAGCAGATGTAACCGAACATAGTGAACATAATAGTTTCCTGCATACAAGGTAGTGCCCGTTTATTGCAAACTATTGTATGTACCTTGAATTATTAATATAATAGGCTTTGTGGGGCTTGGGAGTTGGTACATAACTGCAGGTTGTATGTAACTCGGATGTTCGTAACCCAGGGACTGCCTGTATATAATATGGTTTTCACACAGTGTCCAAATCACATAAAGTCCTGTTTCACAGAATGTATTGTGGACGTTAAGTGATACACGACTGTATATGCACTATGTTTTTTGCTCTGTCTCTTTCTGTATATACTATAGTACTGTAGTACTTCGGCCATTTTTATATTAAAAATTGGTTTCGTATAATTTCAAAATAACTACATATATTTAAATATATATGCATATACGTATGTATGTATATATTTGCAACACCAAATAAATCTAGTGGACGTCGAGTAGCTAAAACAATAGGGAGAAATGATGAAGTAAAGAGCTGAACAGAAGATTTCAAAGGGCGGCTGGAGAAGACAGAGTAAAGTGTTATAATGACATGTGCAAAGACTTGGAGATAGACAACCAAAAGGGAAGAACACGCTTGGCATTTCTCAAACTAAAAGAACTAAAGAAAAAATTCAAGCATCAAGTTGCAATATTGAAGAATTCTATGGGGAAAGTGTTAAATGACACAGGACACATTAAAAGAAGATGAAAGGAATACACAGAGTCATTGTACCAAAAAGAATTGGTTGATGTTCAGCCATTTCAGGAGGTAGCATATGATGAGGAGCTGATGGTACGGAAGGAAGAAGTCTAAGCTGCACTGAAGGCATTGGTGTAAAACAAGGCTGCAGGAATTGACGGAATACTAATTGAGATGTTTCAACAAACAGATACAGTGCTGGAAATGGTCATTCCTCCACACCAAGAAATTTTGAAGACAGCTACCTGGCCAACCCACTGAAAGAGATCTGTATTTGTGCCCATTCCAAGAAAGGTGGCCCAACAGAATATGGAAATTACTGAACAGTATCATTAATATCACACACAAGTAAAATTTTCCTGAAGATAATTAAAAAAATGGTTGCAGCTGTACATTGACAGAGAACTGCCAGAAATTCAAGCCGGATTCAGAAGAGGACATGGAATGAGGGATATCATTGCTGATGTCAGATGGATCTTGGCTGAAAGTCAAAAATACTAGAAAGATGTTTACCTGTGTTTTATTGATTATGCAGAAGCATTCACCTGTATGGATCATAACAAATTACGTATAACATTGCAAAGAATGGGAATTCTAGAACACTTAACTGTGCTCATGAGGAACTTGTATGTAGTCCAAGGGGCAGTCATTTGAACAGAACAAGGGGATACTGCGTGTTTTAAAATCAGGCAAGATGTGTGTCAGAGTTGTATCCTTTCACCCTACTTATTCAGTGTGTATGCTGAGCAGATAATCCAAGAAGCTGGACTATATGAAGAAGAACAAGGCATTAGGATTGTAGGACAACTCATTAACAACCTGTAGCATGCAGATATCGCAACCTTACTGAAAGTGAAGAGGACTTGAAGCAGTCACTGATGAAGATCAAAGACTACAGCCTTCAGTATGGATTACGCCTCAACAAAGAAAACAAATCCTCACAACTGGACCAATAAGCCACATCATGATAAAAAGATTGAAGTTGGCAAGGATTTCATTTTACAATCAACACCCATGGAAATAGCAGTCAAGAAATGAAAAGACACATTGTGTTGGACAAATCTGCTGCAGAAGACCTTTAAAGTGTTAAAAAGCAAAGATGTCACTTTGAGAACTAAGGTGCGCCTGATCCAGGCCATGGTATTTTCATTTGCCTCATATGCATGTGGAAGCTGGACAGTGAATAAGGAATTCTGACTGAAGAAGAACTGATGCCTTTGAATTATGATGTTGGCGAAGATATTGAATATACCACGGACTGCCAGAAGAAGGAACAAATCTGTCTTGGAAGAAGTTCAGCCAGAATGCTTCTTAGAGGCAAGGATGGCGAGACTTCGTCCTACGAAATTTGAACATGTCAGGAGGGACCTGTCCCTGGAGAAGGACATCATGCTTGGTGAAGTAGAGGGTCAGCGAAAAAGAGGAAGACTCTCAATGAGATGATTGACATAATAGCTTCAACAGTGACTCAGACATAGCAATGATTGTGAGGGTAGCGCAGGACTGGACAGCATTTCATTTTGTTGTATATACGGTCCTTGTGAGTCGGAACCGACTGGATGACATCTAACAACAACAACATTAATATGAGTCGTTTTTCACTCATTTTTACAAAATGAAGACAAAATTCAGGAATGTATTATAGTATTTGTATGAACAAACAGTACTGTACAAAGATGACAACACATCTAAGATGAAACGTTGCCAGGAAGTACTACTGCCATTTATCAGCTGATGTATAAAGGGACGTTGAGGGTATTATGCTGGAAAATAACGTGTGAAAGTTGACAGTTGCCTGTATATGTTCAGTAGCCAGTGCAACCAACGTCATTTGCACTCACAGGTAATTACGAGAGTAATACATGCTTATTGAAAAATATTGGAAATTCAGAAGTCACAGGTTGCTCTATTTCTTTTGTTTAAATTCTTTTTAATGCAGTTGTAAAGATAGCATAAATTTCATTTATATGTCAAATTATCTTAATATATTTATTGATTCCAAAATTCCAAAATTCTGAGTTATATCCTACTCCGGCTATAGATTGGAATGCTCATTGGAATTTTCTAGATCATTTTCAATTTGTCCGTGTCAAAGATTGTTGTTACTCATTTGACTTCTTTACATAGTAGGCATACTAAATCTGTATTCTGGTTTGTCATTTAGCTGTTTTTTGTGTATAGTAGATTTTTTCCACATACAGAAGTTTAAAATTTTTTATGCAGTCAAGTCTATATAAAATCTTCTTGATCTTCTTAGTATCTTGTTTTATTGTTTTTATGCTCAGAAAGGGCTTTATGTATTGGGCTGATATTTTTTCTTGCTTTTTAGCTTATATTTAACTCTTTAAAATATCTGGGATTTAATTTGGTCATGAGATGAGGCACTAATAATCCACTTTTCCCTCAAAGTATTAACTAGTTTATCAGAGCCAATTATTGAATAATAGTTTTCTTATTTTAAATGTGTTCCACGTTTTTTTTTTTCCTATGTATTTGATATATTTAGTAGATTAAATATGAGCCCTAACAAAGGATTTAAAATGAAGTGCTGGTTGGGGAGAAGAGTCTTGTATTCCTATGTTTATATATGAGTTCTGGTTTTGAAATTTATCATGTATTTGACATTATTTTCTAAGTTGTGTACAATATTCCAACAAAATCAGAATCTTTGGATTTTTGTAAGCAGACTAAAGTATCATTTGTGACTCCAGGTGAAATACTCAACCGATCATTGAGCTGATCGTAACTTTAAATATTTTCTTGTCATTGAGCTTTTTGCTAAATAGTTGAAAGCAAAAACCTATGCTTTTTAATATACCAGTGCTTTTTGTTTACTTTTTTGACCTTATAGTTTTACATAATACATCTTTAAAAAATAATTACTGACAGAATCTGATGTTCTTTCTTTTGTTTTCCTCCAAGGGAAGAATTTATACACAAATGAATATGTGGCAATTAAGCTGGTAAGTTCATGTTTCTTATTTTCTTGTTACTTACTTATTAACTTATATTTTAATTATCTTTTATTTTCATGTTATTTATAACTTGACTGTTTATTTGAAAACAAAAAGTGATATGTGTAGCAGATCTTTTGTTATTAAGCTCAGAACATCATCATGTCCCTTCAATATATGACAACTCAATCTCCTTACCTTGGCAACATTGTATGAGTTTTTGAGTTCTGACACCATTTTTAATTTAGGAAAGCTAGCATTTTGGCATTTTTAATTAGATAAAAATTAGAAAGCAAGGTTTCTCTTTCTGATCCAAGCATTTGGACAAAACAAAAGCATATTTACGTTCAGGATTACACTCTTTGAAAACATATTTTCAGGTACCTTCCAAAATCTGTTTTACCATTTATACTTTATATGTAGTAAAGCTGGCTATTGCTTGACCTTTGGGGATTCAAAAATGCCTGATGTGGATAGAAGGGGAAGTAAACTCTTTACAGAGCTATGTTAAAGTCCTAAATGTGCCTGGTATGGCAGTTGTAAGACAGAGATACCTCTTTTGGAAGAGTTGGGATCTGGAAATTATTTCCATAAGACATAACTCTCTTTCTTCTGGTACAGCTTCTCTGTCTGGCTTGCCAGCTAGTTTTCCCTGAGTTATGCAGGGTTTGGTTTTCCCAGTCTGCCTGCCTTTTTCAACCTTGTCTCTGCCAATATAACCTGTTACCAGGACAATGTGAGATTATTATTATTAAACGTTAGTTAACCTATTGAAGGAGGAGGCAAATGGGAGGAAATAGAAAAACTTTTGGGATGAGATGGAAAAGCTGCATTACTTGATTTTAAATATTTTTGTGAGTATAGACCAAGTTTCACTGCAACAAATGCTATTTATTTTCACTGGGAAGTAAAGATGCATGGTGTGATTGTGGTGCCACCAGGAAAGACTGGCTGGCTTACATGAGACTTTGGACTATTATTTATCTAGTTGAGTTCACCACAGGTTTAAGGTCTGAACCTTGACTTTATGACACAAAATCTAGTTAGGCCATCTCACCTAAGTTATCTCTGTTTCTCAGAGGTATAAATATTTACAAAGGGTTAATTTCTAATTTATAATGAGGTATTTTACTATTACAGGTCTAGAATGCTCTGATCAGTGTGGATAGATCTACATGGAAAGCCAGATTAAAATTACAAGGTTCCATTGTGAGTATGGAATCAGGATAAGGAAAGTTAGTTTGTGTGACTCACTGTAGGGAGGGCCCAGGATACAGCGACTGGACAGTATTTGAATAGGCACTGCTGCGTCTCATTTCTTTAGAACTCTTCCTTTTCCCGTGTTCTAGGCCAGTGGTCTAGAACATTGTATGGGGATTGGGGATGGGAGTGGCGCACAGTGTGGTGAAACCCATCTTCTGTGCTATTGATGCAACGACCGATAGTGAGCAGCTCTCCTTCTGGGAGTATGTCTTGCATGTGAGTGATATTTATTTCGTATGTTTAGGCAAATAAACCATTGTGTCAAAGCAAGAGCCACTGCTGTAGGCTGACCATACCTTGTCTGCTTCAGTAACTAAGTGGTACCCTTAGGTCCTATTATTTTGGATTTTGGAACTTATTTACTGTGTCCATACCATTGCTGCCTTAGTAAACATTTATTGTAGCATGTTTTAGCCTTCGTATGTATACACACGTATCACTTTTTTAAGTTTATCTTCGTGCCATATCACTCCATCCTTTTGTTTTTCTCCTTCTCTTCTCCACCACCCTCCACTGTTCTTGTCCTGCTTTGATTGCCCTTTTAAAAGCACAATGATCAGCACTACATATACTTATTATGGTTTTTCCGGTGTTCTTTGGAGGAATTGGGAATATTTTTGGATCTATGTCCCTAGCATTTTGAGACTGAAGTATAGTATGCAGTTGTGTTCTCCTCAAATCAATCCCAAAGGCTGTATTGGGATGTCAGAAAAATTTTCACGTAAACCGTATTGGACCATAGTTTGGTACTTTGTCATTTCCTTATATGTTTCTGTTTGTATCTGTTGTATCTTTTTGCAGCAAATAACATAAAATCTTGTTCAGAACCTGCCATAAAAGTAATCACTTGAAAATATTATGTATCTATGCCTTCAGTGCTGCCTGATTTTTGTACTTTGGTACAAATAAAAGTGTTATTTGATAACATGGTGTTCAGAGAGTGGATTTTAGTGACTACTTCGGCTTTGGTGTCCTTATAAAGATTTTATGTTTATCTGATAATGTTGCCCTAGTTTAGACAGCTGTTTTGTTTCAGGATATTTTGTTAATTCGACTTTGGTCATTACCATCATTTATTGTTGTTTATGCTCATATAATAACCTATTGTCCACCAATAATTAAAATGTTATCATGAGGTAGGGAGACTTTTGTTATATGGTGGTATAATAAAATTTTACTGCTAGTAAAGTACTGGATTCAATTTGAACTGACTCAACTAAGTTAGATCTGGGTTTCTATTTTTACTTAGTTATTGAGTAAATGATGTATTTAATTTCACTTATGATTGCATAACTGGGCATCTTTTATTATATCTTAAGGTTATGTACTTTTAGGTAGTTAACTGAAGAAGCATAGGTAATATAGCACTCACTATGTGGAAAGTAAGGAGCCCTGGTGGCACAGTGGTTAAGTGCTCGGCTGCTAACCCAAAGGTCAGTGGTTCGAACCCACCACCCACTCCTTGGGAGAAAGATGTGGCAGTCTGCTTCTGGAAAGATTACAGCATTGGAAACCCATGGGGGTAGTTCTGCCTGTCCTGTAAGGTCACTATGAGTCCGAATCAACTTGACAGCAATGGGTTTGATTTTTTGGATGTGGAAGGTACTATTTTAAGTACTTGACACATATTATGAGAAAAGTACAGTTTTTAATCCCTATTTTACAGATGAGGGAACTGAAATACAGAATGGTTAAGTAACTTGTTGAAAGTCACACAGCTAGTAAGGAGTGGAGTCAATCTAGTTTCAGTGTATATGCTCTTAATTACTGTACCTTCCTGTCTCTTGAGAACTAAGCTGAATTGTTTTCTCATATAATAATTCTTATGGTTATAATTGTTCTAATTGACTTTTCAAAAAATTGTGGTAAAATATATATAACAAAACATTTGCTAGTTGAACAATTTTTACATGTATAAGTCAGTGATGTTGATTATGTTTACGTTTTATGCACTCATTACCACTATCCTTTTCCAAATTATTCCACCAACATTAACAGAAACTCAGTGCTTCCTGAGCAATGACTCCCCCCCTTTTTCCTCCTTCCTACTCCTCGTAACTACTAATAAACTTTGGCCGCTGTTCATTTGCGTATTTCATATAGATGATGTCATACAATATTTGTTCTTTTGTGACTGACTTATTTCATTCAGCATAATGTTTTCAAGGTTCATTTTTGTTGTGGCATGCATCAGGACTTTATTTCTCTTTATGGCTGAGTAATATTCCATTGTATGCATGTACTGTATTTTGTTTATCCATTCATCGGTTGATGAAGATTTAGGTTGTTTCCACCTTTTGGCTATTGTGAATATTGCTGCAGTGAACATGGTGTAGAGGTTTCTGTTTTTGTTCCTGCTTTCACTTCTTTTGGGTATATACCTAGGATTTGGATTGCTGGGTCATATGGTAGTTCTATGTTTAACTTTTTGAGGAACTGCCAAACTGTTTTCCACAGTGGCTGTACTGTTTTACATTCCCATCAGCAATGGATGAGGGTTTTCCAGTTTTCCATATTCTCACCAACACCTTTTCTTTTTTTAAAAAAAATGACAGCCATTCTAGTGGGTGTGAGGTAATATCTTATTGTGGTTTTGATTTGCATCTTCGTATGAATTGGAATTGACTTGATGGCAACGGGTTTTGGAATGGTAAACAGGAGTTCCTGGGTGGTGCAAATGGTTAATGTACTTGGCTGCTAACCAAAAGGTTGGAGGTTCAAGTCCACCCGGAGGTGCCTCGGAAGAAAGGCCTGACGAACTACTTCTGAAAAATCAGCCATTTGAAAACCCTGTGGAGCACAGTTCTGCTCTGACACAGAAGAGGTCACTATGAGTTAAAATCAACTCTCTGGCATCTGGGGTAATGATTAATGACATTTCTAAACAGATTTTAATAGTTCCTTATCTGAAGTCTTTGTATGGTCATAGTTTCACTATAACGTGTCTAGCTTAATTTCTTTTTAGTTATCTTGTTTAGAATTCACATTTCTCTTGAATCTGTGATTTGTTGTCCTTTATCAATTCTTGAATTGATTATTACTTCAGATATTGCTTCTGCCCACTTTTCTCTTTGAGACCCTTATCAAATGCATATTAGACTCTCTAACTGTGTTATATAGGTCTCTAATCTTTTCTTCTGTATTTTCCATTTTCTCTTCCTTCATGATGCATTCTGTATTTTTTTTTTTAAATTTCATTGTGCTTTTGGTGAAAGTTCACAGCTCAAGTTAATTTCTCATTCAAAAATTTATACACATGTTGTTTTGTGACATTGGTTGCAATCCCCACAATGTGACAACACAGTCCCCCTTCCCACCCTGGATTTCCCGTGTCCATTCGTCCAGCTCCTGGCCCTTCCTGCCTTCTCATCTTGCTTTTGGGCAGGAGTTGCCTATTTGGTCTCCTGTGTTTGACTGAACTGAGAAGCACGTTCCTCATGTGTGTTATTTTTCGTTTTATAGGCCTGTCTAATCTTCGTCCGAAAAATGTGCTTTGGGAGTGGTGTCAGTTCTGAGTTAGCAGAGTGTCCAGAGGCCAGTGTCGGGGGTTCCTCCAGTCTTTGTCAGACCACTAAGCCTGTTCTTTTTTTCATGTATTTGAATTTTGTTTTACATTTTTCTCCCATTCTATCTGTGACCTCTGTTGTGATTCCTGTCAGAGCTGTCAGTGTTGGTAGCCAGGCACCGTCTAGTTCTTCTGGGCTCAGGTGGAGTCTCTGGTTCATGTGGTCCATCAGTCCTTTGGG